AAATAGCCCGCCTTGTTGGCAGAGGCTATTTACACTAACTCCGCCCACCAATGTGTGATTGGGCTAGTCAACACTACCAAAGACGATAGTCTAATAACAGCTCCAGGTGTAGATAGTAAAGCACATGGCGTAGTTATTTTTGACGAGAGTTTGAATTTGCCATTTTTTTTTCTCCCTTTTCAAATCTCATGTCATGTCAGAAAGGCATTTATTTTCAATAAAAATTAAGGAAATAATCAAAAAGTTGAAAAAGTATCGGGTAGGGTTAGAGTAGGTGTAGGGAAGGCTTATATTGTCCCAATAAGGTGGAATCCATTTAATTATTAAAATTAAAATTATAATCCACACTCAATACGTTACTACTGCATACTGTTTTATAATGCACTACAATAATGAGGTGCAGATAATTGCCACTATTTGCAATACGTAGTAGAAAATCCTGCTATTTTAACAGTATAAATATAATCTATAGTTATTTGCACTTAGTGTAAATAGCATATCACTAAGAAAATATATAAATAGCCTCTATCGCTAATAAATATTATTTCAGTTTTTCTACTTCAAAATCTCATGCTTATTTCAATGGAAAACTAAATAAATAAATCATATCACAATTTCTGCTAAACTATTGGGCAGCACAACTGTTTTCAACATTGATAATAATCAGAAATGTTTCTCGAGCAGCAAATCAGCATATTAGAATGATTTCTGAAGATCATGTGACACTGAAGACTCGAGTAATGATGCTGAAAATACAGCTTTGATCACAGAAATAAATTACATTTTACTATATATTCACATAGAAAACAGCTATTTTAAATTGCAACAATAGTTCGCAATATTTCTGTTTTTACTGTATTTTTTATCAAATAAATGCAGCCTTGGTGAGCAAAATAAACCTCTTTTAAAAACCTTCAGACTTTTCGAGCAGTAGATTGCACTGCTATATTTTTGGGTCAGCGTCTTCTTTAAATGCATTCTTCTTCTTAGGTGTAGGAAAACATGATAGAAAAACAGTTTGGTGAAATTGCTTCCTTTGCCTGCCAAGTCATCGACCATCTCTCTCTCTCGTGTGCTCAGAGATGGGAACGAGAAGTCCAATTGCTCTACTCGGTGTAATGTCATTTTGATGATGCTTTAGATCAACATGGTTAATAATATATCTGTTGACAAATGCTGCACTCACAAGGTGTGCTCTTCCTACACATATTCTGTAAGGGAAAAAATATATATATTTTGCAGTAGTATGCTGGATTTCGTCTCTTGAAAAAAGGCCTCTGACGGCCCCTTCTCTGTGAATCTATCTGCCTATACCCTCCTGCTTAATCTATCGTCAATGCCAGGTCAACTTAACTAAACATTGTTTCACATCAACGTCAAAAAAGGACCTTTTGATGTAGCTTTTTTCCAGTAAGTGAGGCAGAGATGCAATACTAAATTAGCTCGATGGAAATTGCCGAGCAGAGCGTGTGCTTTCAGCGGCTCAGAGTAACAAGCTCGCAGTTCTCTTTCAGAAAGCTAAAAGCCAGCGTGATAACTGCTTTCATTTTTAAGAGAAAGTTGTTCTAAGTCTAAATACGTTTTGTATTGAGGGTTGAGGGTTGTCCGACCCATCAAGACTATACAGTCAAAAAGTAACAGCTAATGCTTTAGAAATGGCTTTCATATATGTTGAAATAACATTGAAAGATGGTTTGGTTTTATTTCTTTAAGGGTGTCTGAGTATCTCAGAAAATGCTATCATTAGTGATACACCAAACATTTCAGCATCTGAAACATTTATATGCACACCAATAGGATGATAACACTCAAGAATCAGCTTCATGAAATAACCTGTTTTCCGAGTTTACGGTATATTCACACAGAAAAATCAGGTTATTTCCTAGTAATGATGTAAAAACGTCCATTTTCGTGTGTC